AGAATGGTTCCTTATTTTTGTGGTTCATTATTTTTGTATGAAAATTAAATAAAACAATGTATTAAAACCTCATTTCAGTCCCTAACAGAGAACACACATCAACGAAATGTTCGTTTCCCATTCCTTCCCCCCACCCCCTTCTCTTAGTAATCGGAAAGCAAGTTTTCCTGAGAAAAGGCAAAGGGATGTTCCCTTGTGACAGGGTGTATCACCAGAAATCTAAGCAGGGGAGGACACAAGAGGTTACTGCCTCCCAAACCCTCTCTCTCCAACTTGGAAAGTCCCTCCCTTTCTGCTTCCTGTCAGGAGGGTTCCCATCCATACGTTATCTGTCTTCTCCATCCAACACCTCTGACCTACATCTGACAAACGTGCAGGTGTGCTCGGTCTTTAAGCTGTCCGGGAGCTAAAGTGACTCAGAACCGAGTTGTGTGTGCAGGAAAAGCATGGCACCAGGGGGAATCGTGATCCAGGTCATGCAAGTCACATGAGATCTTGTCGTTTCCAAGGGAATTGCCCTGAATCCCATTAAAAGTTTGAGGATTTATAAAGGTAGCAGGCCCATGCACTATTCCTCTTCGTGGTTGTTCTCTTGTGACTGATTTATGAGTACAAGGCATTGTCTTTGCATTAAATCCAGACACCAGGCAGGAATAGATTCACACAGGGCAAGGATTTTTTTTTTTAATTTTTCTTTTAAGATTTTATTCATAAGTAATCTCTACACCCAATATAGGGCTTGAACTAATGACCCTGAGATTAAGAGTCGCATGCTTCCACTGACTGAGCCAGCCCCCTCAGGGCAAGGATTTAAAAAAAAAAAAAAAATCTATCTGAAAATCTCTTTCTTTTAACCATAGTTAAATTTTTCATCTTTATTGTGATTATTATAAATTTGGACTTCTTAATACCATCTCCTTAAAAATTTACATTTGTCCCTCTTCTTCCATGCTTTTCTCCTTTAATTCTTTTAATTGAAGGTTGCTTGTTTTCATGCCATCTTAACCTTCTCTAGTGGTTTAGAACTTAAACACTCTCTCTCTGCTGGTTTTTCTTGAAATTTTACCATGCTCATTATAACTTAAAGTACATCCTCCCTCCTGAACAACGCAGAGTTTAGAAAGTTTTTTTTTCCCTTTAAATTTTTTGTTCTGTTAATCACCATACATTACATCATTAGCTTTTGATGTGGTGTTCCATGATTCATTGTTTGTGCATAACACCCAGTGCTCTACGCAGAACGTACCCTCTTTAATACCCATCGCCAGGCTAACCCATCCCCCCACACCCCTCCCCTCTAGAACCCTCAGTTTGTTTTTCAGAGTCCATCGTCTCTCATGGTTCATCTCCCCCTCCGATTTACCCCCCTTCATTCTTCCCCTAGAAACATCGCCAAAGGCAAGGGAAGCAAGGGCAAAAATGAACTTTTGGGATTTCAACAAGATAAAAGCTTTTGCACAGCAAAAGAAACAGTCAACAAAACCAAAAGACAACCGACAGAATGGGAGAAAATATTTGCAAATGACATACCAGATAAAGGGCTAGTATCCAAAATCTATAAAGAACTTATCAAACTCAACACCCAAAGAAGAAATAATCCAATCGAGTTTAGAAAGTTTTAACTCTAATCCTCTCTTAAATATTATTGCCCAGTATTTTAGTTTTAAACTTTTTAAGACTTCTCAAATTAAATATTATAAATATTACATATTTATCTTCCATATTTGTTTGCTGTTTTGTTTTCTCATGCTTCCTTCTTGCATAGAAAACTCTCCTGTAATCATTTTTTCTTCTGGATGCACATCTTTAAAAATTCCTTTAGTGGAGGTATCTTGGGGGTAAACTCTCTCAGTCTCTGTTTATCTGTCTTTCTCTCACTTTGGTTCTTGAAAGACGGTTTTGTTGGGAACATGAAAGAAGTCACTGGATTAAGACCCAGTCATGACAAAACCCTTCCCCAGCCCTGTGAAGACATGAGTTCACTCTCCAAACTGACACACCAATCTCCATTCCCCTCAAATCCTCTTGTATCTTCTAGAGCAGAGCATCTTAACTCTTCCAGCTTTATTGTCCCCTTCACTGGAGAACTCAGAGACCTAAAGAACAAGGCAGGGAGTATTTGGTGGTAGAACAGCACTCCAAGAAGGAGCACCCGAATTTCTTCTCTCGTCTACATGATGGTCGGTTTCCTCTCATCCCTGGGCAGCTTCTTGGTGACAGGAAGCGTTGGTCTTCCCTCTTTGTTTGGAAGCATCCATCTGGCCTTCTAGGGTCTGATCATCAGGCCCCTGAATCCACCTCATTCCCTCTCCCGGAAGGCCTTGCAGCCTCATGCCAGGACAGCACCCCCGCCCCCCACACCGCCTTCCCATTCTGCCCCAAAAGTTCTGTGAGGCAGAACGGGGCTCCAAGTAACTCCTGGTTCACAAGGACCCTGACTCCCACGGGCAGGTTTGAAGGGCCAGAACCTTCCACCCTGGAAAGCACAGAGTCATCACCAGCCCCTCCACCCAGAGGCCACCCCGTAGCCAGCACATGACCTGGGACAATTCTGGGTCACCTTCCCTCCATCACTGAGTCAAGTTCCTTTCTATCAGCTTCTTCACTTGCCGGGGGCATAAGTGCGGGCAGCTGCTGGCTCATGGGTGCCCACTGTTAGGATCAGAAAGGGAAGGGCTTGTTCCTACCAGTTCCGGTTCAGAAAGTCCCACGGAAACCACTGTCCGGGCTTCACTCTGAGGGCCCATCTTTGTGGGGTAAGGGGCTCTGGTTGGCCTTGTTAGGTGTTCAGCCAAGCTCCGAGGCCTGGGGATCAGCAGAGACATCAGCAGGAGAAAGGTACACTGGGCAGACCCAAAAAGAAAGACCCCATCCAATCTTATCTGGGTTGTACACCAAAACAAACTACTTCTGTTCGTTTACTCAACCACTCCTCCATCCCTCCATCCATCCTCTTACTGAACAGTTACTCAGCATCAACAGTTCGCCGGGTAGTACCTACCATACCCACAGTAGAACAGTAAGCAGATTTAGAATCAGCTTCTGCCCCGCTGGACAGGCCAGTGGGGAGGGAGGGCAAGTTGATGTGTAAGCTGTCAGATGCACAGCCACATTCCCATGCCTGGAGATCAAAGAGGAAGTGGTGGGTGGGAACAGGGGCTGAGGGCTTACAGCAGGACCCTGGGCCCCAGAAGCTTCACTTGAACACGGTAGGGATGGAGTCAGGCTGGCCCAGCTGTGTGTGCAGTTGGGATTCACAGGCATAGACCCTTCCAGAAGATGTTTGGAGAGCTCCCTGGGCATGAGCCACACACACACACACACCACCACCACCACCACCACCACCACCACCACCACCACCACCACTACCCCCGCCTAGCCCCTTATGGCAAGGAAGGCCCCAGCAATTTCCTTTGACCTTCTGCTGTCTTGCATTTCTCTCACAAGGGTCTCCCGGGCGTGTAGCTTCTAAGAATCCATCTCTTGCCCCTGCTCTGTGGGCTTCCTCTCACTCATAAAGACTTCACTCTCTCCTAGGGATGTGACCTTGGCAAGTCAATCACTCTGTGCCTCAGTTTCCCCATTGGTAAGATAGGGACAGTGAGAGTACCTACCCAACAGAGGTAGAGCACTTCTGACAGTGCTGAGCTGTAGTCAGTTCACTATTGCATTATTTTTGTTATGATTTTTGCTGTTATCGCTCTCATCATCACTATCATTCTGACCCAGTGGAGACCACAGAGCCTCCAGCACAGCAGTGTCTGCTGTTGGAGCCCCGGGGCCGCACCTCAGCCTCCCCGTGGGCTGGAGGAGTGTTCCCTGCAGCGCCACACGGGCCAGATCCCAGGCTGGGGTTACGGCTCGTGCTTTCCTCCATCTTCTGTCTACATCACTCCGAAGCAGTGCCATCCAGGGACGTGCCTGGCTCCAGGCTGACCAGCAGCCCTTGCCCGCAGCACATGGTGGTGACAGCCTTTGGCCTCAGTCGCCAAAGAGAAGGGGACAACTTCATTCCACCCTCGTAACCCAGGAAGCGAGCTAGGCCTGAGCCCTGAAAATGTCGGGGCACCCCTTGATAAAGCAAGGAGACCCACTCCTCTCCTGCCTCTCGCAGGCCCTGCTGGCCCCAGGGACTGCTGCTTCTGGGGTTTCCCTCAGGAGGTGACAAAGCCTTTCTAGAAACTCACTGCAATGCCTCAGGCCCTGAGCCCCGCTCCCCAGACCAAGGCTCCCTGCCTGGAAGGGTTCGGGGGAGATACGATAAGCCACGCCCTGGAAATGGAGGCTGGGGGTTTGGGCTACAGCCAGACTGACCCCCATGACTCTGTGCCTGGGCTGCTGGGCACTGTCGTGGGAGCTCTTCCCTCAAGTTGTCCCTATCAGCTGAGTCCAGGCGGGATGAGGTTGCAAGCCGGGTGGGTGTTGAGCTTTCAGTAGCCGTGCCAAGGGTGGGGGGCTGTCCACCGGAGCACCTCCACTGCCTGCCTGGGTCTGCTTAGAGAAGCCCAGCTCCCGGCCCGCTTTGCGAAGGAGACAGCATGTCCTGGACAGGCCTGACTTCGGATATTCTCTTTCCAGAAGGGAACTCGATAATGTGTCCTGTGGGATTGGGGGTTCTCAGGTCTGGGGCTTGTAGGCATCATGGTCCTTTGTGCACACACTGCCCTGAACCCCATGTGCATGCACATCACACATGCGTACCCGCCGCTTGCGCTGACCCCCGGAACAGTGGCATGGCGGGAGGCCAGATCATACTCCGGCTTATCAGCTACCTCCCAGCTTCCTCTGCCTGCGTTCCTGCAGGCCTGGAGCTCTGAGAGCTGGCCTTCCACGTGGCTTCCAGAAGACCTCTCAGATAATGAGAGGAAATGTGGTCATCAGCTCATAGAAGACTGGGGTTCCGGGCTACAGCTCCAGGCCACCACTCCCTGACCTGGGTCCACCATCTCCCTCCAGGAGGCCCTCAGCTGTTCCCAGTGAGCCTGTGGATGCCACTCGAGATGTCCCCTTTTGGCTGCTGGGGACTGCCCACCGCCCTTCTTGTCCTGTTCTGCTGCCCAGGTGAGCTGGTACCTGGGGATCCTGACTTGGCATGTGCCAGCCTGGGGGGGGGCTGCCTGTCCCCCTGGCTTCAGGCATGGGAGGCGGGGCTGGTCCTGAAGTCACCGAGGCTTTGAACACAGGGGCAGCCCACCCTGGGCACGGGATGCTCTACCAGCCTGGCTCCCCCGTGATCCTGGATGGGGGCCGGTGGGGAAGCTGGTCTTTTGGACAGCAGGTTGAACAGGCCCCACGGCTGCATGGCCTATGGAAGTAGCAGGTTGTGGAGGCTGAATGGTGGACTGCGTGGGGGCCTGAGGCAGGAGGGGATGCTGGGGTTCGAGGGAAGGTGAGGGAATGCCCCAGCTGTTCTTCAGATGTGCTCCAGGGACAGCAGGGGGCAACAGAGGACATGGCCTTTTGACTACTGTCAAAGGGAAGCGAAAACCTCCAGGGAGTCAGGGGACTGTGAAGGGAAATGCTACCATGTGCTCAGCACTCCGTTTTGGACAACCTGCCAGGTGCTTTTCAAGGGCTAGCTCACCACAACCCTGCAGGAAAGGGATTACTTGTCTGTTTGACAGGTGAAGAAAGAGGCTCAGAGGGAGAAAGCACCTTGCCCAGGGTCACACAGCTGGTACATGGCAAACTCAGGATTCAAATCCAGCTCTGTCTACCTGCAAAGCTCCTTTCTTGCCACTTCATTATATGCCACTCACTGAGCGCTGAGTGGGGACTTGCTGGTGTGGGGGAAGCACAGGATAGGACCCGCTGTTTGAGATCAAGGATCTTCTGAGCGGGAGCTGAGCTCTGAGGACTCAATCTTGAGGCATCAAACCCTTGTGGATGTCTGTCACACACAGGGCATTGTGCTAAGCCCTGAGGGAAACCTATAAAATCTCAGCCCTGCCTTCTAGAAGCTCTAAAACATCTAAGGGAGAGTTGGCATGGATATCAATCATTTGCAAGGTGGTCCCATTATCTTCCTGAACTCCTCGCCCCCTGCCTTCCTCCTCATTGAGCTCTAGCTGTCCTGATCTTGCTGTTCCTCAAGCACACCAAGCATGCCCTTGACCCAGGGTCTGAAGGCTGGGAACACCCCCGCTAGCCAGGTGTCTGCAGGGCTCACACCCACCTCTTTTCGTGTCTGTGCTCAAATGTCCATACCTTGGTGAGGCCCATGCTGACCACCCTATTAAAATGGCAACTCCACCCCATTCCTGTTTCCTGCCCCAGGCACTGATCACCGTCAGACAGGGCTGGATATTTCACTTGTTGATTATTGTCTGTCCCCTTCATGATAAAGGGAGCTCTGCAAGGGCAGGGTTTGGTCTGCTTTGGTCACTGCTGTGCCGTCAGAGCCTACAACAGGGCCCGGCATATTCAAAGGTATTCAAAAAGTATTTGCAGAAGAAAGGAAAGGAGGGAGGAAAAGGTTGAACCCAGGGCCACAGGGGCCCAGAGCACCCAGTCCACCTCCGTCTCTGAGAGGTCTTCATGGAGGAGGGGACATTTGGACTGGGCTTTGAAGGTTGCATAGGATCCCTCTGCATGGAGATGGAAGACATGCACGGAGGAGACTCATCTGAAGGTGGTGGGCTGGAGGAAGAGCTGTGGGGTCACCTCCGCGGTTTGGACATGGGGCAATACATAAGGCCTGACCAACGGGACAGTAGCAGACGGGCCATCTCTGGCCTATCTTCTTGGGCACCTGCCCTGTGATCAGACTGCCGGCGGTGGGCAGGGCAGCAGACACGTTTGCTGCCCAGTCTTTCTGGTCTTCCAGGGTCTGGTGAGGGGTTCGAGGTGCACATGTATCCGGAGCAGCTTGTGGTGGAGCCTGGAGGGTCCAAGTTGATCAACTGTAGCACCAGCTGTGCCCAGCCACAGACCGGTGGCCTGGAGACCGCCCTAACCAAGACCCTGCTGGAGTCGGGAGCTCAGTGGAAGCAGTACTTGATCTCCAACATCTCCTGGGACACAGTCATCCACTGCTACTTCACCTGCTTCGGGAATCAGAAGTTAAAGAGTCTCAACATCAGCGTGTTCTGTGAGTGCCGCCCTGCGGGGCCCTCCTCCCCAGGGCCGAGCCCGTGTCTACTGACTGTTTGCAGAGCAACTCTGGTACTGCTCCTGGGCACTCGCTTTGGGCCCCACCTCCCTGGGCTCCTGGGGGGACGGGGAGCAGGACGCCGGCCATGGGCTCAGAGTCTGCTCACACCCTTCCCTGGACTCCGTGGGCCTGCTGGCCACGCCACCTCCGAGGCTTGCTCAGAGGACAGTCCAAGCAAGGTTTGCACAAACTGACAAGTCATTTCCCCGGCAATGCTCACAGTCTCCTCCCCGCTCAGTAGCAGCCCGTCACCGGACAGCCCCCACCCCACCACAAATAGTGGGGCGTCAACAGAAGGGCCACCATGCTCTCCAGTCGCCCCTTCACCTCATGGAGAGAAGGTTAAGGCATGACCTGGTGCTTTTATATTCCTTTTTTTTTAAAGATGTATTTATTTGAGAGAGCTGGGGAGGGAGGGAAAGGAGAGGGAAAGAGAACACGCGCAGACTCGGGGCTGAGCGCGGAGCCGGACACAAGCCTTGATCTCACAGGCCTGAGATCACGACCTGAGCTGAAACTGAGGGCTGGGTGCTTAACCGACGGAGCCAGCCAGGCACCCCTGCTTTTATATTCCTGAGGGCCCCTGGCAAATGTGTGACCATCACCCATACACACCGGTGTACGGGTCATGGAGACCTTCCCATAGGACAGGATTCTCTCAACGTCTTGGCACCAAGGGTATGGCTGGGGTCCTCCCCATGACCAGCACAGTGGATCAAGTGAATAGAAAGATGTTCTAAATCCAACATATTACCTTGGGGTGATGGGGGCAAGGTATTCTAGTTCGAAAGGGAATCCATGGTACCACTGAGGGCCCTGTCTAATAGACAAGGGATGGCAGGTCTAACTAAGCAAGGCAGGTCTGACTCCAGCCCCCACCCCTTAAGTGGGGACCCCACAACTCTTGGCCCAGTTCCAGTGAGCACCCCCTTCTTAGTCTCAATACAATTATCCAGCTGTTTAATACGGAAATTTGTGTTTGATTTCTGGAGACGGAGACAGATCCATTTTTTTTTTGTTGGTTTCTGGTTGACTGTACAACTTCTAGACCTCCTCTTTGTAGACCCCTGGCCACCTCCATTTTGTCAATTCCAGAAAATGTCATGTTGGTAAAACTCCCGGCCAATCCATCCTTCACCCTGACCCGCTCCCTCTGTCCTCTCCCTGTGCTCTAGAGCAGGCCAGGCCCCAGCCCGCGGCCTCCCCACGTCCAGCCAAGGCCCCGAGAACACGGCGGTGCCAGGGGATGGGCCGGGCCGGAGGGTGGGGGCACTGCTGGGACTGCGCCCCCATCCTGACCCGCCCTCCCTTCTCCTTCCCTGCAGACCCTCCAAAGCAAGTGCTGCTGAAGCTGCAGCCCGCGTGGGTGGCTGTGGGGAGATCCTTCATCATCGAGTGCCACGTGCCGGCTGTGAAACCCCTCGAGAGCCTCACTCTCACCCTGCTGCATGGCCAGGAGGCCCTGTGCAACAAGACCTTCGCAAGGGGGGACGACAGCATCCGAGGGGCCACGGCCACGCACAACAGCACGGCTCACAGGCAAGACGGCCGCCACAACTTCTCGTGCCACGCCCACCTGGATCTGCGGTCGCTCGGCGGGGGAATCGTTCACCGCGCCTCTGAGCCCCAGATGCTCAAGGTCTACGGTGAGGGGCGCCCCCCAATGGCAGGGGTGGGTGAGGGCACTCACCTTCAGTTCCTTAGGGGAAGAAAAAGCCCTCAGCACACCCGCTGCCAGCCCAGGGGCCAGGCACCCAGGGACCCCACGCTGAGTCCCGGGGCTTCCCTCTTGCTCTTCCGGACCTTGACCAAGTCACCCCCCCCCCCGCCCCGGCCATGGCCCCTCTCTACATTCGGAGGTTGAGCCCAAAGGTCCCCCGGAGCTCTGCTGTTCTGTGACTCTTGATGGCCAAGGTGTTCCCTGTCTTCAGTGAGTTTGGTGGAAGCTCACCCAGCTCTGCCCAGGGCGGGGCTGGGCTGGGACCGCGCCACGGCCCAGGCCACGGTGGCCAGCATACCTACGCTGGTGCCAAGGGCCGGTGGCCTGGGCCCTGGCCTGCCTTTCCCCGAGATCCTACACCATTAGCCCTTCGTCTCTGCAGCCCAGGTGGCTGCAAGGTGGACGGGGGAGTGGGCGGGTGACACGTGGACCCCTCCCCCCTGGGCCCTGGCCTGGAGCATGGGCGGGCTCCTGAGACCGCTGCCCCCCCCCTCCCCAGAGCCCAGGCCAGACAGCCTGAGACCGCTGCCCCTCCCCCACCAGAGCCCAGGCCAGACAGCCTGAGACCGCTGGCCCCTCCCCCCCAGAGCCCAGGCCAGACAGCCTGAGACCGCTGGCCCCTCCCCCCCAGAGCCCAGGCCAGACAGCCTGAGACCGCTGCCCCCTCCCCCCACTGCTGCCCCTCCCCGCTGAGACCGCTGCCCCTCCCCCCCCAGAGCCCAGGCCAGACAACCAGATGGTCGTCATCATCTCCGTCGTGTCGGTGCTGCTGCTCTTGTTCGTGACGTCTGTCGTCCTGTGCTTCGTCTTGGGCCAGCACTGGCGCCAGAGGCGGATGGGCGCCTACGGGGTTCAGGATGCTTAAGTAGGGCCAAACTTGGGGCCGACTGAGCACAGCCGACATGAGTGGCACGGCCACCGCCGCCCCTGGAACTCAGCGTGACTCCTCGGGACTGTGGTCCGGCCCTGGCTGCAGGACTGTAACGACCAGCCGAGGGCATCGGGGTCATTTCCTTTTCTAGTCTGCACATAAACACCTGGACTCAACCCTGTGCCTCCATGTCTTCTCCTGCGATAGAACTCCACGGCCAGGAAAGGCACCCACTGGGCTGGACTTCTCCCCAGAGGTCTCCCAAGCCTCCCTCCCCCCTCACCTTCACAGGGGCCTTCCAGAGCCCCAGCCAGCCCAGGCCCCGGGGCGCCCCCGTGCTGACCAGCCCAGGCACCAGACAACCCTCCTCACGGAGCCCTGAGTGACTAATTTCTCCCAAGGGACAGGGACATGGGGGAGACACGCCCTGGCCCAGGAGAGCAGAGAGACGTTCTGTTCCTACTTGGCGCTCGGGGACCTCAGGCCACTCCCAAGCAGGACACGGCTCTGACTTCTTTCTGCCAAAAGAGCCAGCTTCCTGGGGCAAGGGTGGGGCCCAAGGGAACTGGCTCAGCTCCAGGACCCTCTGAGCCAGGCCTCTCTCCCATCACTTTAGGCCTTCAGAGAGCCTTGGACAACAAAAGCAGTCCTTCCCTCACATCCTGCTCTGTCATTAGGCCACCAAGACCCCACCGCACTGGCCCTCCCACACAGGGGTGAGTGGAGGAGGTCGAGTGAGGGAGGGCTCTAGTTCCCAGACCCCTAGGCCCCCCCACCGGCGGCTTCCCAGCCCTGGATGATGCTTAGAGGGGTCTGTGCTCCAGGGCAGAGATGAGGCCAGTTCAAGGTCTCCATGTGGTGAAGAAGGTTTTGATTCACCCAGGAGAGGGCCTGGCTGTGGTTGAGGGAGTGCGGGAGGGCTGCCAGGCATGGGTGCAGAGTCGTAGGCACTAGAGGGGCACCTAGGGGCTCCAGGGCTCTTTCCAGCTCTGCGGTGAAGCTGGCAGGGTCCCAGGGCTGGTGTCTGTCCTCACGGTAGGCTCTCGGCATCACAGTAGTCTGGGGAGAGACAGTACCCATATCTTGGCTCCCTCCTGCATCCCTGGACCCCAAGGAGTGAAAGGGAAACGGACAGGCCAGTTGCCTGCAGCAGTGATGATAGGCGCTCCCCCACCCCCAACATGGCCCTCCTGGCCTCCTGACCCATCCCTGGGCCCCACTGCCCTACTACCCTGCCCCTACCTGAAGCCGGGGGTACATCCGCACCCACAGTGCCTGTGGCACTAGGGGGTGGGGGTGGGGGCACGGTTATGGTTCTTCTGACATAGAGAAAAGAAAAGAAAGACCCCCCAATCAGAAGTGGTCTCTGGGGTCTCACCCAGAAGTATCTCCAACCCCGCCCCCCCGCCAGCTCCTGGTGAGCTCTTCCAGCCCAGCCCCAGAGCAGGACTCTGGCAATGCCCAGATCCCCCAGCCTCACTTACCCCCCCCTTTTCCCAGAGGCAGGAGGGCAGTGCTGAATCCTGGATGTGTTCTGCAAGTGAGGCTGATGTGGGGGGAGGGAAAGGAAAGGGACTGGCCAGGGTAGCGAGGGGCCCAGCATGGGCATCGGGCAGGGCAGGTAGTGGTGATGAAACACCAAAGGCCCTTCCTCCTGGGCTTGCATCTCCTCCTCCTCCTCCTGTTGACCCTCCAGGTAGACCTGGGGATTGTGGGAAAGGGGGAGGAGGGATGATGATATGGGACCCAACGTCCCTACCCCCACTTCTCTGTTCCTCTAATTTCTCCAGAGGAACATCATAAATTGGCTTCCCTTTATTGAGCAGCTAGGTACTTTGGAGATGTCTATTCCTTATTTTGCAGGAGGGAAAACTGAGGCTCAAAGAGGTTGAGCAACTTGTCTAAGGTCACCCAGGTAATAAGTGGCTGAGCAGGGACTGGAAGAATCCAGGTATGACTCCAGAGCGGGTCAGGAGTCCAGTGACCTGTGTCTGGCCTCGCCCCCAGGCCCTGGACCCACCCGTGCCCCATCGGGGAGGTGGGGTGCTCATCCCAGGGGCCCCCCTGAGGGCCAGGGTGTGAGGAGTGGTGGCAGCCCCTGCCAGCCTGGATGGTGTACACAACCTGGCCTCCTCCAAGCGGCAAAATCCTACCTGGCTTCCAAGGGCTGATTTTAAGGTCACCTGCTCCTCCAAGGAGGCTTTCCTCATTCCCCAGTGAGTGTGCACTCATGCCTTGCCCCTCTCCCCGTGCCAGCTGGGTAGAAGTTGCCTTGTATTCATAGTCATTGATTTATTTTTTCACTTGTTCAACAAATATCATTTGAGCCCCTAATGAGTATCGGGCACCCTGCAGACTCCAGGTACAGTGGTGCCTGTCCTCCTGGGCCTGCAGTCTAGTAGGGGATGCACTACAGGGAGACCTCCTTGAAAACAAGACCTGAGTGCTCTGGATTTGGGGACTCCCACCCATGGAGGCTGCTGACTTGGGAGCCTGGCACATAATAGATGCCAAAGGGACCCAGTTGGGTGCCTGCGCTGTTGCCTGGTTCGTTTTCTCCAGGATCCACCCCAGATGGATCCCCGCCCTTGGACCTGCAGGCCGGCGGCCCTGGTGGCACACCTCCACCCCACCCCTAGCTGACGCACCTGTGGGTGGCAAGAGGCTGGCCCCGGGTGGAGCGCTGCTGCCACCAGGCCACTCAGCAGCAGCTGGTGCATCTGTGCGTTCTGCAGCAACATCAGTTCCAGCAGGTCTAGGGCGGGGGAGTTAAGCAGGCCCACGCCAGTCCTCCCACTGCCCACCGCTCCACCCCCACCGGCCCCCCCAAAGCCCAGCCCGGGACCGCGCGCGGAAGGGACATGCAGCGAGGACACCCAGAGAATGTGCGAAGCAGAGTGGGGTACAAGGCGGGCGAGCCCCTAGTCTCACCTTCCTTCACTCGGCCCGGCTGCGGGGGCGGCGGTGGGACGGCCCATGTGACAGGCTGCAGGACGGTCATCCAGGGCTGGGGGGAGCGGGAGACTCAGGCGAGGCGGACAAGGGATCGGGACCAACCTCTCCCCAACATCCCCCCGCTGCACCCCGCGAGTGGCCTCCCTCACCCCCCTGGGGCCTCGTTTTCCTCCCCGCCAGCCCCAGTTCCCCGAGTCTCCTCCTCTGCGGCTGGGGTCGCTGTCTGCTCCCACTCCACTTCCTCCAAGGGTCGGCCCCTCCACGGAGGGCTCCCCAATCGGCCAAGCCCCCAGGCCTCGCCGGTAAAAGCCGGCTCAGCCCTCACCGTCCGGGCTGCACTCTGCGGTTGGGGCTGACCCCAGCTTCCTCCAGGGCCGGAGGCCATGCGGGCTCCTGCGGGTCAGGGTTACCTAGGCGACGTGGGCGACGCCAAAGTCTCATCCCACGCATGCGCAGGTCCCTCCCCGCCTCCGGTGCTTCGGGCTTGCTCTGCTGCGAGGACTCCCTCCCCCAGGAGGCGGGTCGCTCTGCCAGATATCCACCTCCAGCTCCCAGGCCAGGCATCGCGTCTTGCTCCTCGCTGTACCTTCCACCCTTGCGCACCTCCGGGACCAAGCCCTGGGGCGGGGGGCGGCTCGTGTTTGTTGAGTGAATGAGTGAGGAGCTGGGGAGACCAGCCCCAAAGCAAACACTTGGTTTTCAGGCCCCAGACTTGGCTAGGGTGATGAGTTAAGCAGGAATAGAACATTCTGTAGGAGCGGACTTGGCGGGGAAAGGCAGTTGAGTGAGGAGGGCAGAAGGTACGTTCTCGGTCATTCTGAATCAGAGGGATGTCCTTTGGGCCAGGAGTGTTTTCTAGAGCAGACCAAGGACGGTTCACAGAAAAGTCTGGGCCCTGGCCAGAAACAGGTGGCTGGCCCCTTGACGTCCCCCTCATGGCCGTTGGCTCCCTCATTCCTGGCTGCCGCTTTGCAGAGGTGGAGAGGCCCAGGGAGATCAGCACCAGGGCCCCCATTATTGTCCCACAGCCGGGAAAAATCACCAAAGCAGGCATTCTTTTGACAGGAAGTTATCAAGGTCTTCCTTGCATCAGAACAGGTGAGGGAAGAGATCTATTTCGGCAGCTGTGACCATCCTAAGATAGGCCCTGAGCACCAGTCAAGGAAAATCCAGACAGGAAACTGGGATTAGCACCCGTGAGTTGCCCTTCCCCCACCCTCTACTTCTGTTCAGCTCCTCTTCCTGGCAGTCCTGGTATCTAGAACCACAAAGACCATTCCCACCTCCTCTTTTGTGCCTTAGTCCCTGGGAGGGGGCCTGTGGGCTGAGCATTAGCTGTGAGTCTTATAGCTTCAGTGGCCATCAACAAGCCCACATCGGGCAATGTGGTGACAGGCCCTGGGGGGGAGTGGGATTAGCACAGAGGTGCATCTTTCTGTCTGCATCCTCATTGCAGTAAGAGGGGCAAAACCAGAGGCGCCTGGGTGGCTCAGTTGTTAAGCATCTGCCTTCGGCTCAGGTCATGATCCCAGGGTCCTGGGATCTGTGGTGGCAGTGGCCAGGGAGTGGGCTTCTCCTTCTCCCACCGCCCCTCCCCCGGCTTGTGCACTCTCTCCCCCCCCCGTCAAAAAAAGAAAATCTTAAAAAAATAAAAATAAAAATAAATAAATAAAAACAGCCCAGAGCAGGTTGGAGGCGGCTGTGCAAAACAGACAGGGATTGGTGATTACTTCACTACCTCAGATATAAGACCGCATGTTGAGCCCACATGTGTTTGGGAAGACAGGGCTGACGTAAAAACTGCCTGGCTTCTGTGTGCAAGCAGAGTTCCTTGTCGAAGGAAACTAAAGCATTTGCCCTTTGAAGAATGGAAAAACCGCACGCGCTTATCTGCCGGAGCTCTTTTGCTTATAGAAGATCTAATGTTAGTCCCACAGTGGAGGAGGTGACTTTCCGGCCACTTGCCTGGCCCACTATTATTTTCTTTGAGGCACTGAACACTCCACCTATTTCCTTTTCATGTTGTCTCCTCCGTGAGGACTCTGGTTCGCATCTTTGTTTTTTTGTTTTACCGGGTTTTTCGTTTGTTTCTGGGTGTCCCACAGCGATATATATTAAAAGTCCTCCCTGTTGCCTCGGTAAATCTATTTCTGGGAATAAACTAAACACCGCAAAGGATTTCTCCTCAAGTGTGTTCATCACAGTGTTATTTTTAAGGGTTGAAAATTGAACATACCCAGGGTCCTCTAATAAGGGAATGGTTGTGTAACTGAAGGCAAGTCACTCAAAGAAAGAGTATGCAGTCATTAAAAAAAAAAAAAAAAAAACCCACAAAAAAAGAGCTCCTTCCTCTCCTCCTCAGATGGGAATGGAGAGAAAAGAAAAGAACTTGGGTGGAAATTTCAGTGTTTCTTCTTGGTACAGATAGGAAGTGCTGAGCAGAGACAGACGACCTGACAGCAGGCCCTTTTCTTGGGCCCAGGTCCTAATGAGACACTAATTGGAAGGAGGTAGTTACATGACTGACTGGCTATGTTGGGGAGGCCTTGAAAATACCACAGTAAAGAAATTCCATTTTTCTGCTTGGAGGCTCTGACTATGTTGTTTCTCCAAATTGTGACTCTCCTTGTGAGGTGTGTGTGTGGTTTTGCCTGACAGGTCCCTGGTGGTACTTTGGGGACTTAAAAAATGTAGATGGAACCAGTGGGATGCACGGTGGTGCGGACTCAGTTTCAAGGTCCCCCCCAACCACCACCAGAATAGAGCTGTGGTGTGGAGCCCTAAGCCCCTCCTCTCCCCCACTCCCTGGAATCGGGGTGCCGCCAACCATGGGGGAGCACCGGCCGAAGCTCCCAGGAAGTCCCCCTGAGTGAATGGCTCAGGAAGGAAACTGAGAACCAGGTGGGGGTGAGGAGCGGGGGGTAGTGGCCAGGACAGGGTACGACAAGGTCAGTTCCTGCGGGTCAGGGTGGGATTTTCTGAAAGGTGGTTCTATTCTGCAGAATTCTTGTGTCTGTGGGCAACTGAAACTCACCCTAAACTAGCCTAAGGAAAAGGGATGCTTTTTGGCTCATGTGATGGGAGAGGACGGTGATGGGGTTTCCCTGTAGTCCCACTGACTCAGGGGTCGAGCAGGGTCTTCAGATCCCTCTCTCATCTCCCCCACCTGTGTGTGCTGTTCTCATTCCCTCGTCCTACAGACAGACGCTTTCACTCGGTGGGAGACACACCTCAGGCACCTTCAGACTTACTTCAGTTACTCTACACAAACTCAGAGAATCCTGAGGAGAGATTATCTTTCTTTTGTATGGATATACATATACCCCCCCAGGAAGGACTATGATTGACCCCACCTGTACCACATATCCAGCTTTGGGACCAACCACTGTGGCCAAGAGCATTGGCCAGACCTGGGTGACATGGCCATCTCCATGGCCGAGGTGGGGGTGGGGGAATCAGCAGCCACACCAGAATGACATATTTGGGGTAGGGAAGGAGCAGTTTCCCCAAAGGAAGGAGGAATATTGTCATCAAGAGAGGGAGGCATTCCTTCCCCTTGGGCTGTGGGAAAAAGTCATATTTCACATACAGCTTTGGTTTTCCAATCAGCCTTATTCCTAATCCCAATGACACCTTGTGCAAATAAGAAAAATTAGCCCTGTTCTCTAGACAGTTTGCTACCATCTGCTACACAATTATCATCTTAAATACACGAATCTATAATGATTACAAATGCGATGGGTGCCCAGAACTGTACAGTGTACAACCCAGACAACCGAATGCAACAGCCCTCCGCCCCCTTCATATGTTACAATTCCCTTCAATTACTTCAACCCCTCATTAAAGAAATTCTTACCCCATAGAGCTCTAGGCAGTGCCCAGGTAGAGACCATAAATGGGAATGACGGCTGCCTGCCCACCTCCTTCCTCCGGTGCCCACAGACAGGGAGGAGTGAGCTACCAAGGGGACAGTAACTAGCAGCAAAGCAAACTGGAGCCACAGCAGGGCCCTGAGTGGTGACAGGGGCCCCAGGGAACAGTTCCAGGGAGGCAGCTTGGGAAGGAAGACACAAAATGTGTGCTTTCCCTCTGAGAGCTAGAAGAAGATCCTTACACAGAAGAGGCAGAGGTGCGCGGACACCTGGATCACATCAGCAGTAAAACCATATGGAAAGTGTGTGTCAGAAAGGTGTGTGAGCCAAGCAGCATAAGAACTGTGCACAGAGAACACCAACTTCACACCTGTAGGTTTGGGAGACCCACCTCAGAGGGTGTGAAGTGACTCACCTGGGGTGAGCTGTGGGCAGTTGCAGGCAGAGCAGAAACTTCTCAGACCACAGCCAGGCCTGGCCACCGAGGAGGCGCTCGACAAGACTGAGGCTGGGTCCACCGAGGGTCGCTGGGAGGACAGATGCCATCCAGCCTCACACTGAGGGTGACCACTCCCCAGGCCTCCCTGGGCCCCTCACAAAGTCCACTCTGTCCTGGGCCCAGCTCAGCTGGAGCTGTGGCTACCAGAAAAGACGACCTCAGGGACGGGCGTGGGACACTGGGGGGAGCAACGCGGGGAGCTTTGGGGCACAGTGACTCTGGATTCAACCCGGGATTCTCTTGTCCGCCTGGGGCAAGCTAGGTGGGCCAGCTGGGAGATGGGTCATTTCACAACAGCTCCACTAGGGGTCATCACAGCCCCTGAATGGAGGGGGGCAGGGGGCTAAACCCACCTCATCCTTCCCCCCGCCCCAGCCCACCCTCCCCTCCCCAAGCTCTGAGGGACAGATGTCTAGCCAGTGGGATGGTGGCGGGGGCTGGGGGGGGGAGTGGTGGTGGAGAAATAACTCTTGAGACTTCTGTGTTGTCCCCTGACAGTTGGGTGTGTGTAGGGGTGTGTGTGTGTGTACAGGCAGGCATACACTTAATGAAAATCCAGTGACCATAGGTACACACAGATGGCCCTGTGCATGTGTGAGCGGGAACGTGGACAGAGACTCAGACAACGGTACAGATATAAGGAACGTGCACGGACATGCGTGAATGCCTGAGCGTGACCGTGGGTATGGGTGTGTGCACACACAGACACACGTGCGATAAAATTCTAGCGTTCATGCTCCCCTGGGCAGGAGAGTAGCTACGACTGTATGTATATAATAATACAAGCATACGCACGAGCTGATGTGAGTGCGGGAGCGTGTTTGCGCGAGCAATAAGTATGTGTGGGAACAGGGGTAAGGCACAGTGGAAGGGTTTGTGTGGATGTATGAAGGGTGACTTATGTGTATGGCTGAGCATGTGTGAGTGTGGCATTTGTAGGGAGACGCGTCCGTGAGTGTGCACCGGAGCGAGTGTGAGTGTGCGAGCTGGCACGTGCTGCCGGGGCTCCCGGGG